GATGCCCGGCTGGGAATGGGGAGACCCCAAATCCCCCCTCGCCCTTGGAAGCTCCCGGGGGGCGGGGACTCAGGGCCACTCCTCCCCCGCCCAGCCTACCTTGCAGGGCTGTCGTGGTTGGGAAGAATGACGCGGAAGCCGCCTGTGTGTGTGTGTGTGTGTGTGTGTGTGTGTGTAATTTTAAATATTCTGTAAGGCAAGCAGAAACGGGATCGCAGCCCAGAACAGTATATCTCTACATTCAGGCCTCGGTTACATATAAGACTTAATTTACGAGTACATCTATCAGTAAATTAAAATGCCGCAGGTACCCTCCAGATGTGTGGGCCCAGAGCTCCACTGGCCATGCCGGCTGGGGATGATGGGAGCTACAGACCTCCCAGATCCAGCATGAGCGTGAGAGGAAGGTTTGAGCAGAATTGCTGCTCTGTTGATGAGGACTCTCCCACTTAAGGGAGCCCCCCATCTGGCCCCAAGGAAGAACCCACCGCATGCTGAAGGAATGAACATCTGACCTGTTGCCTCATCAGAAGATGACCTCTCAGGTGCCCTCCCACTCATATATTCTGGGATTCTAGGATTTGGGCATCGACTGCCCACTTCTGGCTTTCCGTACTGGATTGTGGGCTGCTGTGGCGACAGCTAAATAAAGGAATGCTTTGCTAAAAAGTTCATGCCAAAGGGCTTTAAAATACAGCAGAGCCCCCCCCAATTTGAAGAGCTCTGCCAACTCTTGGGTGCCACTGTGTGCCTCTCGCTGCAGGCCCATTGCTGCTGCTCGGGGACCTGCGACGGCAGAAACGTCCCTGTGCCACTTTGCTGCCTTCTCAAGATATCCATCATGGCAGCCAAACTGCAGTGGGCGTGCTTGTTTTATCCAAGGATTAAAAGCACCCTAAAAATGCAAACCTCTTTCAGCTTTTGGGGGGCTCTGCCTGGGACAGAGAGATTTCCATGCCTAGGGAGAATCCCTTGCAGAAAGTGAAATTATTCCCTGGAGCTTGTGCTTCATAGCAGATTTTGAATTGCAGATTGTGCGCTCCAGATCATCCCAGTTGTTATAAATGCATGGCGCATGCACACACACAGAGTTCTCCACAGATGGCACTCTTTGATCCTCTGCCTGGTTCTGCTGGCAAAGCGGCTGTTTTCTGCCACCCAGCCACCTCCCACTGAACCTGGCTTCTTCTGTTTCCAGCTTCAGAGAGATAAGAAGCTCTTTAGATTTTGCAGGCCACCTTGATAGGTACCTTTTACCTCGATTTTGAGCTGTAGTCGGCTAGACAGGCCTCTGATCAATAGAGGATCCTTCTGTGCATTGTACATCCTGACGGGGATTAACTGCAGCCTGGCAGCTGGCATTTAGTGCCCAGCTGGGTAAATCTGCCACTCAGCCTTGTGCTCTGCCCTCTTCCCATGGTTCCAGCTTATGGCCCTGTGCCAAATGCTGGCTTTTGTTTTCCCTCTTCAGCATCTTCTTTAATTCTGGTGGCAAGAAATTAGTAGGAAATGTTAAGAATGATGTTGGCCAATCCTCCTCTCTCCATTCTGCCTTTGTTAGCACTGAACCACCCTTTGGCAGCGCGTGCTGAGGGTTGCCCAGAATGCATCCGAAGAACAGCTTGCTTGTGGCTCAGGGAATTTGGAATTAACCAGGATTTGGTGCTTGGGAGAGCCATTTTTATTTATTTATTTTAGCTACTTATTTGTAACACCTCTACCTCAACATACTCAAACAACTCTTGGTGGTTTACAGGCTAGTTCAACAAAAATTAAAACATCCACCCTGAGGTTAAACCCAATCAAAACATAAAAAGAAAAGCAATAACCCCATGAGCCTGCATGTAGAAACATGGACACACACCCCAAAAACGCCCCAAAGAATAAGTCAGAAAGAAAAAGTAAGGTGGCATGAAGCATAGACTCAAGGAAAGGCTTCTGAAACGATTCAGTTTTAGAAAGTTCCCAGATAACTGAAAGGGGCCGGCCATTCAGTAGAACGAGTCAAGGAGCAGACCAGTGCCCAAATTTCTGCCCCATCAAAGTGCTGAACATGCTGGTCCTGTTGTCACAAGCGCTGCTTTAGCTGTTCCTCCTGAACCTCAGGTTGTGATTAGGGATGGCCGCGAGATTTCTCTTTCCTCGCTCCCAGGTTTGTTGCCTCCACGTTGAATTGTTTGCTGGACCGATTGGCCCCACTCTCTGGCTCATATTTGACCTGTATGGAGGGTGTTTAGCCACTGCTACTGTTAAGGGCAAAGAGGGTGAGCGGTTGTGTTGCGTGTTAACCTGTGAGAAATGTTCCTCCTCCTGATCGACTTTTTCTCTCGCTAGTGTAAGCTGGAACTAGTTGTCGGAAGCCCAGCCTCGTGCATGGAACTTGAACTCTATACCCCAGATGACAAATTTGTGATGAAGCTGGACCGCGATGAGGCCTTGCTGGGCTCTTACCCAATTGATGATGGATACCGAATCCATGTGAGTGTGGAGCTGGCTCTTTCCTTGCCAGTAGGAGCCCGACTGAGGCTCTCCCTATAACCAACAACTTTTTAATTGTCGCAGTGGTACTCTTGAGGACTGGATGGTGCAAAGATCTCCAGGCTCAGGAGAAGCCCTGTTAAACACCTCTTCAGTTATTACAAACGTAGGCTACCCCTTGATCTTCTCCATGCCTGAGCATCTTCGAGAGGTTTGAATGCTGCTGGTCCCCTTGCCTCATTGTTATTCTATCACTTCCTCTGTGTAGATGGCACTTTATAAGAAATAAGTGTTTCTGCCCTGAGGGTTTTGCAACATGAAATAGATGCAAGAAAAGTAAAGCAGAGCCCCAGGCCAAGAAGAAGCTGGCACTTCAGCTACTTAGTTAGGGTTGGTTGCAGAGCAGTATGTTGGAGTTACGCTTTTCCTCAGAGGTTCTCGGGAGGTGAGGAATCACTCCCCCCATATCAAAAACTTGGGTCAGTATAAGTTCCTTGGGGCTGGAAACTACTTATCTTGTTTAATAAAGTGTCAGGTACATTTGTGGGACAGCAGACCTAGACAGTATTAGCAACAGTTAACAACACATTCAGTAAATGAGCCGCTGAGTTTTATGAATAATGTTAATCCTTAGGTTTAGGGGGGAAATAAGCCAAATCCATTGCAGAGGAAGTTAGTTATGATCAAGATAATGGGACACTTTCACTGCCTTTTCTTAACTGAAGAAAACCGCAGCTCTGCCTCTGAACTGGAAGTCACCAGTGACACGAAGTGGATGCTTTCTTTGGGCCCATAGGTCATTGACAGAAGCGGCGCAACGATTGGGGAATATGAAGATGTGTCCAGGGTGGAGAAGTTCCAGATTTCTGATTCCGAATACGACAAGCGAGCAGGTAGGAACAGAAGGCACGTCCCAGATGAGGGGTGTGTGAGCAGCAGAAGCTACCTTATCGCAGAAATGGTGTCTTGAGGGCACAGTCATACAGCCCACGCGATACGATTATTTGCATTTCTCTTGTCCAGGAAAAGGTCGTCTTGCTGATCAGGCTCTGGAATCCATTTAGCCTCTTAGAAAATCAAGGTGGGCCAGAAGATGTGGAAGGCCTGCATCCCTTCCATTTTCTGGCTGGCTGGCAAAATTGGGGCAGGAGGGAGAGCACATCAGCCTTAGAGCTGACTTCATTTTCCCTTCATTGAAAGAAATCAACATATTTCTTAAGAATACAAATATGAAAAGCTGTTGGGCTCACCTCCTGTCCTGCTGGAGAGAACCAGAAAGCGTGGAAAAAGATGGCCCATTTGATTTCTTCCTTTCCCGCTCCTATAAGGTGGATGCTTTTAGGAAGATGGAGTTTTTAAAAACTTACCAATGGAGTGATATTAGCTTTTTTGAGTCAGTATGAATCCAGGCTAGGAAGAAAAGCATCTTTTAAGCCGCTGGCTCTGCCCCACAGACACAGCCCGCTCATTCATGAAACGCAGTAAGTTGGGCCAGTACAATAAGGAAGAAATTATGAAGAAGGAGGCAGAGTTAGAGCAGAAGCTGATGGAGGAGAAGGCCCTGGCAGAGGCCATTTCCGTGGGGGCCAGGTGTGAAGTGCGGGCGTCAGGGCAGCCCAACAAACGGGGGACGGTGATGTACGTTGGTGAGTATTTATTTTACTTTTATTTCCAATGTCTGTAGCCTGTCTCTGTCCGAAGGCTCTGGACAGCATACCACAAAGCAAAGATATAAAAAAAATTATTAAAACAAATCAGCTCACCCCAAAGTGAACACCCATAAGCAAATTGGGTGAGAAGCATGGCGAAGTAAAGTTGTTTCCGCCTCTTTGTAAAGGGCCGAGGAGGAGGAGGGCGCCGCAGGAGTCTCTGGGGGAAGGGGGTTCCGAATCCTGGGGGCCACTGCAGAAAAGGCCTCCCATCTCGCCCCTGCTTTGTGTGGTGGGCGGGATCTCAGCAGGGATACAGGGAGCTCCCATAGTGTTGTGCTCTTAGAGGATTACCTCAAGGAGATCAGTGGAATTCAGAAAGCAGATCTCGGTCCAGCTAGATCTCCGCCTCTGGCTTGCTCCTGAAGCACAGTTCTAACAGAACTCTGACTCTGTTGGGCTGCTTTGAGTTTCCAATAAAGCCACCCGTCTTCCAGCGGGCAAGGCTGAGAAACACTGCAATGAAATGTCAGCTGCTTTTTTTAGTTAGCCGGCTTCAACTTGCTGTCTGAAACAGTGTGCACAGGGGTAGGCTATATAACCTCTATGACTTGGTTTTTCATAGGTTCAACAGAATTCAAGCCTGGCTACTGGATTGGCATCAAGTATGATGAGCCTCTGGGGAAACATGATGGCAGGTAAATCTCCCCCCACCCCTTTAGGCCTTATGGTTGTCCACAGTCCGCCTCTCTGAGTGTCCTGAGTTTCTGGCTATGAAGAATGTGGTCTGTAGTACAGAATTTGGCTGAGATGCTCACATTTAGTTAAACATAACTGTGGTTCTAGCCATTATTATGGTGAAGGATCCACCTGAAAGATCGTGTTGGATGCTGGCAGAAAACAAAGAGGAAACTGAATGTTTCCACTGTTAGGAGCAGAATGCTAATACCCCTCCATACTTTCTTGCTCTTGTCTGAAAGCAAGCCAAACCCCAAAGTTCTCATGCAAAAGAGAAATGACGGCAGGTTTATGCAAATCAAGCTAATTTCCCTAATTTTAACATAAGTGCCCTCAGCGCTGCGTACATCCTGCTTAATTATTTTTAGAACTTCCGCGTATTTATGTATTCAAAAAGATTTAAAGGCTCATCTTGAGGCACGCAACTCTGGGCGGCTAATGACAATAAAAAAAACAATAAACCAGTACAAAAAAGGAAAAAAAGGGAAGAAAAACCAGGTATTTATTTATTTAAAAAGAGTTTTAGTATATTTAGTATACTTTTATGTATTTATATAAAGTATATTTAGTATATTCCTGTAAATATTTATTTAGTAAATTTATATGGCTGCTCATCTCACACAGCGACTCTGGGTGGTGTACAACCATTAAAATAGAACAATAAATATATAGAAACAATTATTAAAAAACAGTCCTTATTAAAAAAACAACCATCATGTACAGGAGAGAGTAGATTAAACACAGTGCTAGAGCCATCTAAAAATATCCCCGATCCCCTGCGAGTCCCAGGCCTGAGGACGTTGCCAGGTCTTGAGTGACTTCTGAACACTAACAAGGATGGAGCTAACCTCACTTTGGGGCGGGGGGGAGAATGTTCCATAAGGTGGGCACCTCGGGAGAAAAGGCCCACCTCCTGGGACCTGCCAAGTTTAAGTCCCTGGCAGACAGGACCCGAAGCATGCCCTCTTTGCCAGATCTAATGGGACGGGAGGATGTAATTGCAAAGACGTGGTCCCTCAGACAGCCCAGTCCCATGCCATGAAGGGCTTTAACGGTTAAAACCAGCACCTTGGATTGGACTCAGAAGCAAACTGGCAACTAACGCAGCTCGTGGAGCAGAGGTGTAATGTGCTGTTGTGGAAGCACCCATAAGTGCCCATGCTGCTGCACTCTGCACCAGCTGAAGCTTCCAGATACTCTTCAAGGGCAGCCCCATGTAGAGCACATTACAGTAATCCAATCTGGAGGTGACTAGGGCATGGGTGACCGTGAGCAGAGCCTCCCGATCCAGGAATGGGCACAACTGGTGCACAACCCAAAGCTGCACAAGGGCCCTCCTGGCCACGACTGCCACCTGCTCCTCGAGCAGGAGTTGTGGGTCCGGGAGAACCCCCAAATCGCCCACCGGGTCTGTCTGGGGCAGCACCACCCCATCCAGCACCGAGGATGGCACACTCCCATAACCGCCAGGCCCCAAAGCCCCCTGCCCACCAAACCCTCCACCCGCTGCTGCCTGCGAACCCAGGCGGGGCTGGAGCGCGCAGATGGGGTCACTCGGTTTTCCTTCCTTTCCCGGACAGCATCAGCGGCAAGCGATACTTTGAGTGCCAGCCGAAGTACGGAGCCTTTGTGAAGCCTCAGTACGTCACCATGGGGGACTTCCCGGAAGAGGACTATGGGCTGGACGATGAAATGTGACGGCGCGGCGGAGGGAAGGGAGGAAGCGGGGAGGGTCGCCAGCGCAGCCCCTCGGCCACGGCTGTTTCCGCAGCGCGGCGCTGCCCTCTGACCCCGAGCCGGGGGTCGCTCGAGGGAAACGCAAGAACTGTGTGTTTCGACGTGTTGGTTGTTTTTCCCCTTCCCTGGTTGTCTCTGTTCAGTGAAGATGCCACGTCCCTCAATTTTCCCATGCGCCCCCCAGGTCGGTGACAGAGGGCCGGAATGTCTTTGAGCGCGGTAGCAGTTTGGGGAGGGCGATGACCGCGGCGCCTCCCGGGGCTCCCGTGACCGTGAGTGGGAGCTGATGTTGGAAGGAGGGGCTCAGGACCGATGTATGTGCAGTTCCGGTTTTAAAAGCAAAACGAAATTTAAACTGGATCCTTTCGATGACTGTGCTTTTCTTCCTTCCTTGTGGGTTTTTGTTGTTCAGTTACGTTTTGTTTTTGTGCTGCTGGCAGATGCTGTGTGACAATTACAAATTAAAGTTTGGGGGGGGTCAAACACATTCCGGAGAAGAGCGCTTCTGTGTGTGCTTTGTTTTCTCTCCCGAGGCAAGGAAAAACGGGCAGGCGCTTTTCAGACATGCCGTCTTCAGCCCAGCCAAGGCACCGGCGGTGCAACCCACAATGACATCATGTGAGCGATGATGATGTCATAACGCAAGGGAGGGGAAACGGTCATCTGTGGGATGAGGTGGCCAGGTTGTGGACCTCGCTTCCCAAGGCTATTGGTCTATCTGGTGGGGGGTGGGGCGTTTTACGGCCGGTGCTCAGCCCCTGTTTTGTGTGCTGGCCAGCTTCCCCCTTTCCCTAACCCAGTGTTTCTCAACCTTGGCGACTTTAAGATGTATTGACTTCAACTCCCAGAATTCCCCACCCCGCCCCCCGGCTGGTGGTGCCACTGGGGCGGAAGGCCAGGGCGGCTAAAACCCCCCCGCGGGGGGG